GCTCCCATACATTAAGCCCTGTCTGCATGATTGCAAACCTACAAGAATCATATTCAGTGTTGGTTCTTTAGCAAGCATTTTTTTTAACCATTAGGCTTGATAATATAGTTACAGGCTAGACAGTAAAACCCTTACTGACACTGATTAACATGTTAATCAATGATAAATTCATTTTGAAACCAACAAAATATTTTAGACTCGGAGACATAGAGTTTAAATGAATCCTGACCAGGCACTGGGAAATACGAAATTCCTGACATAAGCCCTGACATAAAAGAAGAGCTTATTCCATGAGGTACACAAATGAGCAAAAAGGATGTAAGACAGCCAAGAAGGCTAGCAGTAAATGAAAAGGTCTGGGGAGGTAGGGAAGGTGAAAAGAAAGATACGTGGATTAGGTACATGGGTTTATTTGTACTTGAGGACTTATTTTATTTTAATACAAGTCAAATATCAACAAAAGCTTAAAGATCTGTATTTCAGACTTTTCAGATGAGCCACTGGTGTATGGGAAGAGGAGGCTGCACCCTTTGGGAGGGAGAGTACATCACAGGCAGACCTGCTGCAAGAGGTTTCTTTTCTGGTGGAAGAGTTGTTACTTTAGGGGAAGTGAGAGTGTTTGAGACACTAGACCTTGCTAAAGCAGGAACATATGACTGATGTTGGCATGAGGCCATGGAGTGCCTGGATAGGAGTTCAGAGCAGAGTTGACTGGGGATTTTCTGATGAAACTCTTTTGTCAGAATAGGATCCTTTTGTGCACACATATACCCATCTAAACTCCCTCCCTGCAGACAAGATTTCCAGTGCTAATGTGAAAAGTGTGGTCAGAGGGATGGCACAGCTCACCTTTGACCAAGACCCCTATGGCCAACACAGCCACCTGGGCCACAGGACCACCCCTCCCAGTGCCTGTTCTAGGACAAAGGGTATCTTACCTCTGTGCTGCCTTTCTCCAGGCCTTATAAAAAGGGAAGAGCAGTAGTGTTATACAGCTATACATTTCCCAGCCCAGAGCTGGGAAATAGGACAGGCTTTGCCTGCTCCTGAGTGTATAGACATGGCTGGAACATCAGGGTTTGTTCGGCGGTCAGGCCACTGCCTCTTCTGAGCTGGGTTGCTCAGCAACTCGTGTTAAGCTGTGTATTTTATAGAAAAAGTTTACATTTTTATTGTCTGGAGTGCAGAGGAACATTGTTATCAAGAAAGGGTTTACATTCTTAATGGCTACAAACACCTAGTATTTCAAAGTGAAAATAAATGCCCTAACAGGCAAGAAATCAGTTCCCAGTATGACACTAACTGGTGCCCAGTTTACTTATATAGCCCAAAGGAAACTGAGAGGCTCCAGATGCTGCTCTGAGACATAATTTTGTTCACCCCGTAACTGTTCACAATGTGGTAAGAGGGAGGAAAAGAAAGGAGATGGCACGCAGCACTTGTTTCACCTGGCATCAGGGGTGAGCGAGTTATTGTGAAAGTGTGAAAAATCTCTTCTCCTTTGTACTACTGTTTAGACAGGACTTTAATCAGGAAATGCAGAAACTTGTATTGATTAGAGACCTTAGAGAAACAGATGAGGTTTCAAGAGGTGAAGTATCCCATTGGATGAAGGTCAAATGCTGTGACAACCTGAGATCTGTCTCTGCACGGCTTATATAGGTTCTCCTTACTGTTTCAGCAGATCCAGAGATCTACTGAACTCTTCGAGGCTGCAAGCTCCATGCTTACTATAGTTCTTATCCGTCTTCTCTATTTTGTGTTTATCACCACACTGAGGAGAATTTCCAATGGCAAACAAACCTCTATTACTCACTATCCACATCCCACTGTTCAAAGAGCTCCCTGCTACCCAGGGCAAACCAGTTTTTCAAGCTTGTTTAGACCTGAATGTATGACTAGCTGTACAGTGAATCAGTCGATATGGGGCTTTGGTCACAGCCTGACCACGGAGAGGCACCTCACAAGGGGAAATGGACGTTGTAAAAAACAGAAGACACAAAGGGAGGAAAGGCTTGGAGAAAAAGGAAGATAAAAGCGTTATGAAACCAACTGTAGCTGCTTGGGAAGTGTTAAAGGGGAGATCCTTTACTCTGAGTTCGTTGCAAGGGTACTGGCATTATTTTTCTGTCAAGACATGCCTCTCCCTTTCCGGTTTCTTGTGTGACACAGCGGGCAAAGTCAGCATGTCATTGCAGCTCCCCTGTGGTGGTGGAGAACTATGTGTGCTGCGTCAGAGGCTCCCACCTAGTGCTGCACCCAGGCTGTGTACTGATAATCCTCCTCTTGTAATCTGTGAGGAGGAGCAGTAACTGAACAGGGTTTTAAACTCCTTTACTGAAAAAAGCTTTTTGGCAGTTTGTGGCATGGGTTTTGTTACTGGGAGGGCACAGCTGATCATCCAAATGGTTAGTGGAGGGGTAACGGGAGAAATTTCACATGCAGCCAAATAGCACCAAAAATTCTCATGTCATTGCTGTCATTGATAGGCTTCTGCAATTATCTGCATGACCTTCATACTTGTAGCTACAACAGCAAACGTAACCTGTGCCATAACTGTGGCTTTCCCCTTCTCCAAGACACATAAAAAAGCACTGTGTAGCCAAAAAATAAGAAATCAACTCATACAGAAGATTTAACTTGAAAATCTGTCATTTAATGGAAACTGTTTGTTTGCTTTTAATGTTAGGTGACATATTTTGACTTCAGATGCCATTAAGTATAGATATAAAACATGTAGGAATTGTAGTACATTCAGATCCTGAGTTTCTATTCAGCAGCCATATTTAGCATGTCGGAAACCCACTAGGAAATGTACTTAACATTATTTCCGATTTGCCATCTCAGAAAAGGAACATATAACCCTAAGAAAGACTATTTTTTCTTTTTCTAAAGGGAGCAGTAAACATACAAAATGCAGATTTTGAGGGTGTAGGAAGAACTGGGATCTTACCAGAACCGGCTTCTGTGTAATGTTCAATAGGTATATTTAAAAAAGAAACCCCAGAAGTTCTGGCAAATTTCTTCAACATCCACAGCCATAAGTATAAAATTGTAATGAAAACAGGTTTTCAGATCTAAATCATATCTATCTTCAGCTGTTTAAACATCCTAGGATGAATGAGAAACTCAGCTGTGCTGTGCTTACACCTCCTGAGAATAGAGGCTGGGGAAAGGTCCAGAGATGCTCTGGAGCTCTCTGCTCCAAGACAGGCCTGGGGTTCTCCAACAATCCATGACTGTATATCCTTCTGGGAGTCATTCCAGGGCACTGCTGGATCCTTACCTGCCAGATCCTTACCTGCCCAGAATCCAAGAGTGTTGTGAGGGAAAGTGGGGAGGCAAGGAGGCAGTGGACCTCTTGGATATGACAAGTGTTCGCACACTGGCCTTTTCTGATGGGCCTGTGTGTGTGTGTGTGAATGCTCATTCTGGCTTTCTATATTAATACTGCCCTAGGACAGCTTCCCTTGGACATTTGTGACTGAATGCCTGGGTTAAGCATCTCACAGACAACAGTGCTACAGCTCAAGCTTTCTTTAACGAGTATGTAAAGTGTGTGAAGATTTATAGCTGCGTGGTATTTGCTATAAAATGTTGTTTCCCAACTCCACTTTTAATGAACTTACTTTACTGATACAAATACTGATACTTACCTCTTCAAATCATGAATCATCTGTGGTTCCCTTCTTACCCTTCATGGCCCTTCTCATACAATTTTATACGGCCCTTTAAAGTTTTGTCATGATTCATCTGTGGCTATGGCATCCCTCCATAATGACGCCCACATTTCTCAACTTACTTATTTGTTGAGTGCTTTAGATCTAAACCATACCACACAGTTGTTTCTCCCAGTCCTTACAAAATCTGTATTTCATGAGTGCAATTATTTTTAGGAACATTCTCAGATTCAGGGTGGTATTGTGAAATAAGCTGCTCAGTCAGCCAATTGCCTACAGTTAGAAAAAAGGAGTATTACTCCAGAAAGGAGCCCAGAAAGTCAAAGGCAGGTACAAACCCACTCATAAAAATGGGATTGGTGTGTCTGTTTAAATATAATTAATGAAAGTGCATGGACAGATTACAACATCACACCTTCATTAAAAGCTGGTTTAAAGAGCAGCTAGAGGAAGCTGTTTTCAGCGTAGAGCAGACTGGTTTTTGTGGATCCTACAAAAGCCAAGCTCTAAGTTACATCTTTTTGTCACCATCTGCAGGTGCTCTATATGCTAACACTTTTTTCCAAATACAGACAGAAGAACTGAAGAATGGGAACTGACAGTGAAGGCTGAAAAATGGGCTTGGGCCTAGGGAGCTTCATAAATCAGTTCAGTACAGCATGTTCTTAATCTCTCACATTTAAATCCTTTGTGCTCACCTGCAAAATAAAGCTTCTTTTTTATGGCAAACTCAGGGGAGAACCTTTGTCTGACCCTCATCCTTCTAAGGGCTGCTATATGGGGCTTCTCCAGAAAGTGAGCTGATACTAAAAACCAGAGCAATGATACTTTTGTTTTCCCCTCAGGATTCCTAGCTTGAAGAGCACAAAAGAAAACAAATGAGACATAAACCAAAACCAGTGAAGCAGGTTTATTGCCTTGTCCTCTTGGATGAATCTAACTCCTGTTGCTGAGCAGTATCCTCCCTCTTGATCCCAGAACTGTGGTTGCTGTGCTGGGGTTCACAACATTTTTGGAAACCTGCACAACAGAACACTTTGTGCACCACAGTGTTCAGGTTCCTCAGGTCCTGATTTAGTGAGGAAGAGGAAAAGGATCTGAAGTAGACACCGAGAGTGAGAAAATGGCAACAGATTCCTTACCCTTCCTCTCATGGGGTAACTCAGACCCATCCCTTTATTCCAGTTGTGCATTTGGAGTGGGAGAGTGAATGGGACTAAATGAATGTTGGCAATGGTCGAGTAAACCCTGTAACTTAAAAGCATTAAGAAACACAGTCACTTCCACCTCTTAAAGCAGGTCTATAAAACTTTTTTATGCTCACTTCCCTTTCTCTTGAAACTATGACTTTTGCTGCATTATCTATTTACTTTTGGGGTGTAGGACAAGACTAACTGCACTGTAGGAAAGTACAAACCACAAGGACACAATAAGAGTCTAGAGACCCAGTGATAACACCTCACAGTGTTTCCCCTACCCTCTGGTTAATGTTTACTTGTGGAATACGAGCTATTTAAATAATTGTCAGTGCCCTGGTCACAGGGTTTGCTTTCAGTGGCAGAGCACAGAGTATTTGAAGTGGTTTGACAGTTTTTTTTTTAAGACACAGCAGCAACTTCTATATCAAGGTGAAGTTCTCAGGAAAGCTTCTTCTGCAGTGCTTGTTTCTGTCTCAGGTTGTTGAAAATGGCGGGTGTAAGCAGCTGCATGAAGTACTCGATGTTCATCTTCAACTTCTTATTTTGGGTAAGCTGGTGTTTAAATTGTTATTAGTGATGCATGAAATGTGTTCAGCATTATCTGAAAGCTGTAGTTGAAGGAATTGTAAAGAAAATAGAGCATAAGCGGAACCAGAGTACGTTTCTAAATTAAGGAGGGGAGAATATGTTTAACTTTTGCCCTTCCCTTTGTCTTTTTCCTTCAAAATACCTTTCCCTCCACAGTCAAAAGTAGACCAGCCTTAAGTTTGTCCCCTGCCCATATCATGACCCTTATGTCAAAAGGCATCACTAATTTCAGTCAGAAGATATCAGGCTCTCCACTTAGAATGTGGCATTTTGTTGTTTTTACGATCTGCTGCTTACATCCAAATGGCATAATCCAGAGAATGTAGTTTCAGCAGGAGATACAGAAAATTCACTTGTATTTTTAGCCTCCTAATTGATAAATGTTTTTCATATCCTTCCTCGGATATGAAGTTACATTCAGTGTCGTAATTAGTTTCTGATGGTGGACAGTAAAATGGTATGGGCTGGCAGTACTGCCAATAGCTGTATCAAGGAAGATTCAGCACTGGGCAGCAGGCAGGTCTCTGGGTGTCATTTGAATTTGAAACATCTCAGCTGGTTTGTAAGAATCTCAGGTCTTGGAAGATCTGGAAAGGTTTGAATTGAAGAACATTTCTTTTGTGGTTCATGTAGCCTCATTATCAGCTTTCCTGACAGAGATTTGTCAGGGTCACCAGAAGTCTGCTGAGATCAGAAGCGGAACTACTACTCACATTATGGGCTTTGCCTCAAGAGGTACTTTTTTTCAAGTGAAGAAGTGATACCATTTAAAAGGGACCACAAACAGTAGCTTTGGAAAACTTGTGGCTGGCCAAAATGAGAAGAATTAGCAGAATTATTTGATCGCTTGTGGACATCACAAGGAAATTCCTCACACGTCAGTGACGGTTTCAACTGCCTCCCCCTCCTCCCTTCGTCTCCACCAAGGCAAATTGAAGATATCTGACATCTCTGCTGAAGTTTTTCTGCAATGATTTTAAAAGAGTCCATAGTTTCTGACTTGGAATTCTTGCCCCTCAAGGAGTTTATCCTATTCACATTCATCTATATTTACTATAAACAAAAACAGGCAAATGTCTCAGAGTAGCATCAGAAAAACTCCAAACTGCTCCTGGAATGAACAGGTTAATAATGCCCCATGCCTAAGCCTCCAGTGACAGCATGAATTTCCTAGCTAAAAACAGAGGCTGTGGTCCTGGGGAAGTCTGGAAAGCTAAGGAAACAAGAAGGTGTGGAACAAACTTCCCAAACCTATCTTTGTGCCAAAGGTAGGAAAATCAGTACTGTATTCTGGGGAAGAATATACTGAGAGCATTTGCTGTGCATGTGACTGCATAGATGGGACAGAAGAGGACAGGAATATAGCTATACTTACTTATTTTAAATATACTCACTTATTTTAAAAGAGGTTTAGCACTACCAAGATAGGGAAGAACAGGTGTGGTGCAAACAGGAACATTTGCTGATAGAGTACAATGAAGCTGAATTCTTTGATTGACATTCCGTTCTCTAATTCCTGGTAATCATTAAATTGCTGTAGTAAAGTACAGGGAACAGGGATGTTTTTACCACCACTGTTCCCTCACATACTCTCCCTGGTGCACAAGTCAGTTGGCAAGTGGCAAAACTAAACTGATAGTGGGAAATGAAGGTGACTTTAACCTTAACTAGATAAGAGCTCCAGCTCTATATTTACTTGGTGTCCTTTCATTTTAAGCCCATTGCAATCTCTATGGGAGTGTACCTTCTTAGGGGATGTGGGAATGAGTTTTCCAGCCTTCTGATGCCTTTGTCTTGGCACCTCTTAGAGCACAGCACTAAGCATGTAACCCCTAAAACATTCTAAGCTAGCTCTGTAAAATGGTTCTGGCTTTACTATGTGAAGCATGCCCCCTGGGAATCTACAGCCCCATGAGTGTGTTCATGAGTTTTGCATCCTCCCAATTTGGTGGAAGAAAGCTGAGCATGGGTTTTTGAAGACCTGTGCTTTGGAGCTGAGTGCCTATATGGAGCTTTTAATGGTCCTTAAGTTAATAATGAAATCAGTTTTGTGCATTAAACCTGACATATAGGTCAGATTTTTCCTCTTTCCCCTTTTCCAAGTTTGCAGGATATCCAGTCTTACCTGCTGCTACTTCACATCATGCAAAATTGTTGAATGAATGTTTTTTTTCACTAAATATTGATTTCTGATCCTAATCTGTGGCAACCCATCAGTAACCGAGCAATCTTTGATCATTTTTTGATAGCAGGCTGGCAGTCCCATCTACAGGCAAAGTGGCCCCTTCCCCATACCTTACATCTAAACATCTCTATCTCTGAAAGCAGCAACACAGACTTAGCAGGTATGGTGAACCATAGGCCATATTCTCTGTAGGACCTTCCTAACACTGTTAATTTCAGGTATCTTAAGGAAGTATTCCAGTCAAATGTTTTAATGAATGAGAGCAACCTTGTAGAAAGCTCCTCCTGATACCCTTACGCTGGTTGCTTAAAATGTATGTGCCAGTGGAGGGAATTCCCCATAGATTTGGTATTCCTGTGTCTGAGAAATGCAGAGTCTTGATATACCACTGGTCCAGAGTCACAGTAGGCTCATCTGAGGTGAAATTAATTTAACTAGGCTCCATTTCTTCATCACACTAAGACTGAAGGGCTCAAGAAGAGAAGGACCGATTGAATTTGAGGGACAACAGTTCTGTCAATTTATGAGACTTGTGACAAGGCCACTGATTCTTGGTTGAGGGTTGAGGCAAATCTACAATAGCCATCTAGTTTTGGAAAAATGGTTGAGGACCATTTGAGAGAAACTTTTTTTATTCCATTGGAAAATACTTGTTTATTAACAATGAAATTTCCTGAAATGAAAATTTCTTTAGTTGAAACTTTATTTTAAGCAAACTTGATAATTAGGATGGAATATTCTAGCAAACCTGAAAAGTTCAACGTGGACCCTTTGGGAACAGGCTATTTTGATTTGTTACTCCAAAACTTTTCTGTGTGTTCTGGTACAATTTGTATATTCTGAAAATAAACAGAAACAGAACATTAAGATTTTCTTGAAATGAACCATTTTTATTAACCTAAACCAACTCTATTTTTATAATGAACATATATGAACCTTGCTAAAAATTTTCATTTATTAATGATGTTTCTTTTTGAATTAAGTAAATATTGTAACATTCCCATCTGATTGCTAAGTTCCTGTATATTCAGCTATATCTACTTCTATTACAGTGCTGTATTTTTATGGGAGGTCCTCTGTAACAAATAAGGCAGTGGGCCAAAATCTGTTTGGATTTGTAGCAATAGCTGCTTGCGTGGAAATTTTCACATTAGCAAGCTCATGTTGTCTGTTGCATAGCCACATGGCTCACATAGTGCTGCTGAACAAGACCCAAATATATAGTCATATGATACCATCAGTTTCCAGTCAGATTCAGTGGGATTCAGAAGGTTTCAGTGGGGAGTTCTAGTTAAATTTGATAACATGATATAGTTGTCATCGATAGTACGACTTTCCTTTTCATGTTTAAAATGTACTTGTAGAAGCTTTACTTAGAACAGGAAAATGTGTGGTACTCATGTCTGAGTGCTGGCTCTGTTCCATATTAAATAATCTGCTAAAGTCATTATGGTCTTTGATGCTAAATATTATATGAAATCTTTTGCAGGGAAAGTATTTTTTAGGAAAAATTACCCAAAACATATAAAAATAGCTCTTCTAATTTTAAAAGGTTAGTAATAGTCCCAGTCTTCATGGGAAGCTAATAACAACATTTCAGGGCCTTTTATGACTTGAGTGTTAGTGACATACAGGAAGATAATTCTAAATATGACTACACCTTGGTCCTCAGTGATATCTCTTTCCTACCAGTCATCTCATAAGGCACAACCCTTTCACCTGATCAAACTCTTAACTACCTGTCCCCAACACTTAATGAAGAGAAATTCTGTATAAGAATCCTCACAGACAAGGTTAGAAATAGAGTAAATGGCACATAGTGGAATGGTACCTCAACAATCAATGAAACAGGAGAGTAGTGATTAAAGAATGCATTTAGACCTGGGATTCATCTGCCCTGATTTCAGCATCTTAAAGCAAGTCATCACTGTCTAACTTTCTAATGTACATGACTGATTTTTCTGTAGAAATGTAATGAAAATTATAATCATAGGTGTTTTACAGAAGGTATGTTCAAAGCATTGGAGATGGCCAGGTGTTGTTGCAATAGAAACAACAGAAAGACTTTATATACAAATGTTCCTGATAGTTTTACCATAGAGAGTATATCCCTAGACATGTCTTGAATAATTCTAGAAACAACATTAGTACAAATATCCCTTATCAAATCTCATGTGTTTCCATTATGCAAGAAACAATGTTTTTTACAGCCATGTTATATACATACAATACCAATTTATATTTCTCTCTCATCTGTCAAAATTTCTGTGTGCTTCCCAACCACATGTATAAATCATCAAGGAAATGTGGAGTCCTCTGAGGCAGAAACATCAGGGATTTGGTGCATAACTGAAGATTTAACTACCCTTATGAAGTTTCCTGGATACAAATCAATGCTCTATTCTCCAGCAAATCATGTTTCTTTCACTTTGCCAAACAAATGATTTCAGAATTTTGGCCAGCATCTGGTGCAATTTGGATGCTGAATGTTAATCTAAAATTGCTGCTCTTTCTAAACATTCTTTATTTTCTCCTGCAGGTGTGTGGTTCCATTATTTTGGGAGTCTCTATATGGATACGTGTTAGCAAAGAAGCTCAGCAGGTAAGTGCATACAGCCATACCAGAACCATGTCAAATGTGGAAACCACTGCATACACTTTCAGTTCCAAACTTCATTTCCACAGACTTTTTATGTTTTCGTTGAAGTGGTTTGTGTGGGTAAAGATTGATGCATTTTATGATGTTTAAGATTAAACAAGATGGTGCAGGTATTTGGATAAAGTAACTGATGTAAACAGAGACATATGACTACAAGAAATGTCTTCTAGTGTTATTAATGTAGATTCTTGCAGATGCAACAGATTTCTGCTGGAAGATGTGTCTCTCTCTCTCCTCTAATGAAAACTAGTGATGGTTTTGATACTGATTTCAGCATTAGAGAGAATAATGAGGAGCCCTGCAGCTCCTAGACTTTTCAATGTCTTTCCCTATTATAATAGTACAGTCATATATATTCCTAGGGTTACTTCCATATGTTTGGAGGGAATACTTTTACCTTTCCCCCTATCTTCAGTAACACAATTCTCATTTTCCCAGTAACTGCAACTTTGAAAGGGAGCAAGGATTTTTCCTGTTTATTTTCAGTGGCTACTTAAAAGCACTTTACCCTTTCCTCCTCATATTAATATAAAAAGATCTTTAGAGACTCAAAACCCTTTACTTCTGAATAAAATGTCCTAACAGTCCTGGAGGGGAGAAGAAAGTCCCTAACTTCCCCTCATGGATTTTATCTGGGTTATTAAATTACGTCAGACTTCGTGACTTTCCTTTTCTGCAAACCTAGGGAAAGTGCAGTTTTGAGGAGCCCTTGATATTGAAGACATGCAGCAGAGGCTGGTCCGGTTGCTGCAAAGCCCCTTCACACTGTGGGCTCTGCCAACCTTTTGCCAAGCGTGCTCCCAGTGCCATTGGCCTCTGACTCACAACATGTTTTCTGCCCCCCTTGAGAGAAGCTGATTTCACAGCTTGTAGCTGATTCTCTAGAAGGCACTGTGCAATTCTCTGTGCAATCTTTGTATGTCGGTGCTTTGTTATATTAACAGGAAGAACAACCTGACCCTAAGGTATAAGCAGTGTATTTCTTCTTGTCAATTTGAGCCATACAAACGTAAACAAATTTGAAAATGTAATTCGCTTGCTTCTATATCCAAAAAGATTTTCTGGCCATAGAAGTGAAAAAAAATGTGATATGGAAGCATGTTTTTCAGCTTTCAGCCTAATTCCTTAGTATAGATTAAGTTGCAGATCTTCAGATCACTCACCTGCTGCTCTACTGCAGTCTGTGAGTTAAGAACAATAACTTTTAAGCCAGTATTTTCCTATCTGGAAACAATAAGATGGTGGAGATAAGAAGATAGCTTTATATATTTCCTGCCATTTGGCTGATGACACTGTTGCTCTCAGCCAGTCCCAGATGTCTCATGTTTGGCAGAATGGATGCAACAGAACTCAGTTCATGATGATGTTGTGGCATGGGGTAAATCAGGTCATGGTGGAGAGCTCTGCTGTTCTCTGCTGTGCAAGAGGAAGAATGACAACTTGCACTCCTCAATCAACATTTTACAAGAAGCTAAATTTTTCATTCTTGCTAGTTGACTATCTCTAGTATAATGGCCCAGATGGTACAGTGGAGCTTGGAAAACTGTAACTGCTATTATCCTTTCTTAATTTGGGGAAGATTTCCTATTAAGAAAAGCACACTTAAGTGTATCCAAAACTGGTTTCCTAAAATGACACTTTGTACTTCCCAAAAAATGTGGATTAGGAGTACAGACTAAAATTGAAAGCATTTTCTCACATTTTTGCCTCTAGGCAGGCAAAGTTCCCATTCAAAATCAATGTATGTTTTGTCTGAGTAATAATTGAACAGACCATAAGGATTTGGTTGTAGATGAATAGAGCTTTCTAAGAATAAATAACAGGAGGTTCAGTCCAACTTGGAAGAGGAAAGAACAACACATTCTTCAAATTATACTTGTCTATATACCTTCGCAATTTCCATCAGAAGATAAATGTGACAACTTCCAGACATTTTTGCTAATCTTGGCACCAGCCACACTGGAAAATACTCTTTGAACATTTTTCTCTATTTTGGCCTTTGGCCTTAGTCAGTCCTGTGGGAACTGAATAATTTGATATTTAATAATACTGAGGTATATGAATTGTTTAGTTGAATGTCTCACACATCAAAAAACAGTCTTCATCCTTGAGGGAAATATTAGAGATCATGCCTGAAAAGAAAGCTGCTTTGGAAAATACATCTAAGTATTTCTCTAGTATATCCAGCATTTCTCTGAGAAGTGTTCTCTCAGAAACAGCCACAGAGTATGTTCCTGGCCTTTTAATGGCAGAGATTTTGTTTCTTTAACCTTTGGTTAATGTAGGAGAGATTTCAAGATAATCAGTTTTGCTACTTCCAGTAAAAACTGAAGATTCATTAACTGAAAACTAACTAAAAGCCACTTTAAAGACAAGAGATCTTTATTTACTCTGTGAAGTTGACTTTCATCTTGTGCAGAGACAAAGACTGTGGAAAACCAGGTTCTACTGAACTCCCCAGCAAAACAATTAAGAAGGGGGCATTGGAGGTCTGCTTATTTCTCCATGGTTGTTAATCAATATATTTGTTGGTTATGAAGTAATTGTCTTGATTTGGGGGATACAGAAGTTTTTAGAAACTACTTCTTGTGGCTGAAAGACTGCTTCCCCTCTTTTTTCAGGAGTTGGAGATAGACAGCAGCGTGTTTGCAGGCGTTGATCTACTGATAGCTGTGGGCTCCATCATTATGATTCTTGGGTTTCTGGGATGCTGTGGAGCCATAAAGGAAAGCCGGTGCATGCTGATGTTGGTAGGAAAGAAAAACATTTGGATATCTTTAAGAGCCAACAGCTACATTTAGTGGATAAGATCTTAGCAAATAGAATCAAATGAAGATGGGGACCTTTTTGTTTAACCGTAAGCTTGATTATAATCATGTGTTTTCATTCCTTACCTTGTGCTTGAGCTCCTTCTGAATTCTAGCACAGAAAAAATGATGGGTGGTCTCATCAGCTGGAAGACAGGGTCCAGAGAGCCCCAAACATGTCACTAGGGTTTTTTTTTTCTATCCAGTCATCTCTGAAGTTCCCTCCACCAGTCCTCCCTCCAACCTATCCCATTTAATTTCCTAAATTCCTAGTGGCTCCCTTTTCTGGTCTCCCTAGAATGTCCTCCCTGACCTCCTGCCCAACAGCTATCACCTACACAGTGCCCATTGTGCTACTCCTCTGGTGTATACCTTGTTTCAGTTGTTAGCTGAGTGCACTCTGTCTCAAGCACCCCTTTTTCTCGTTGCCAAAGAAAGAATAACTGGAGTAGCTCTGGTTGGAATTTCAGTTCATTTTACCTACATGGCTATTCAAGCACATGAAAGCTTAACATTCACTTAGAGGAAATGATATCATCTTGGTCAAAAGTACTACAGTTTTCTCACCCTTTTTTTTCTCCCTAGTTTTTTATTGGGCTGCTTCTGATCCTGATCCTCCAGGTCACAGGAGGTATTTTAGGAGCAGTGTACCGATCTCAGGTACAGTATTATTCTGCATTTTCATTGATGTCTTCCCAAAGTTTTATTTCTACCCCAAAACTAATAAAACATTTGGACTTGCAGATTGAAACATCTCTTAAAGAGGCTCTCCAGGAAAGTGTGAATACATTGCAAAGTTCTACAGAAGAATCTAAAGTGTTTCAAGAGAAGCTCCAGAAGTTTCAGACAATGGTAATTAAAATGTAACAAAGGGCAGGGGTTATTGCTATATGTTCCATCTCTAGTGTTTGTCTGTTCTTCATTTTACGGATACTTTGCCATAGATTTGAAGTTCATTCCCTGGAGATGGGGAAGGGTCTGAATTAAATGCAAGTTAAAACACTATACAAGGGGCTTCTGCTCTCTTGATGCGGCATGGGCTTTCTGTGATGATTTATCTGCACAATAGCATTTATAAAAGCAAGGGACCAAGGACACACAACATGCGAGACTGACAGTTAGCTAAGGTCTTCCGTGAAAAGACTGTCTGGTCCTTTCTAACATCTTTCCCTTCTGAAGGGGCATTACTCCTTCACTTGTATCACCTAGCTAAGAACTAACCAGGACTCTCAAGGAGAGATTACTCCAGGGATAAGGAAAACTTCAGGAGTGTATTTCATTTGGAATATCCTATTGCAATGAAATTGTTAAATGCCACACTTTACTATGTAAATAACAGGAAAAAAAACAGATTATGAAAGGAAGGTTTGTTATCACTGTGCTAATACCTGTCCTGGCTTCCCCCACTTGCAGGACTCCAGAAGGTAGGCACTTAGTGTTACCTTGCTCCTGGGTATCACACAGAGAGTACCCTTGAATCTCACCGATACTATTGATGGTGTAAACCCCTGTCCCTCCCATTAGTAACTGTGTCTATACATCGAGAATGCCTGCTGTTATTCTTTTACTTTAGTCCTAATGAGTGATGCCTTTAATGGGTAAGATAAAGAATTCCTGTATTTTTAAAGGCTGCTGGTGTTAAACGAAAGAAGCAAGAAACAATATTTGAATGGCTTATATTACTTCCACTTCTCCTTCCCCATTCCACTTCCAGCCCTTCCTCTGCTTCTGAGCCAGTTTATTTTTTCTGATATAATAAGCAGCTCCCTGGAGAGATTATTGAAGGTGAGCAAAATGAAAAATCCCATAATTACTGCATTAATTTTTAAATAGGCCAGTATTGCTTTATTATGTCCCACGGCCTTTGCTTTTATACAGAGTTATGTGAACATTTCCAGCTGCTTTTTAAAAGAGAGGGGACCGCAAACTCAAGTCTGCACCCCTGAGCTTTAGTGGCTTGAATAAAGTGGAACATGAAGTGAAACTGCACCTGGTTTAGGTTTCACAAATCACAAATGGAGCCAAGGCCTCCTCAGTCCATTCCTCATTTAAAGGGCTAACCATCTTTCAAGGTAGTTATTTTTCTAGATTTCAGAGTTTTATATGCCTGAATTTTACATTTATAGCCTGGCTTTTCAGGGTGTGGATGCTATTGGAGCTGTTAACTTACCTTCTGCAAGTATAACCTGTAGAAAGAAGGCTCGATTTTCAAAAAATGCTATGCCCAGCTTTGTTCCATGTTCCAGTTCCATTCCAGCATTGACAATTACTAGCTTTATAGCATATTAATGTTTTTGAGCACTGTATACTGAAAATCTGATCTTTTTTTCTTTTTTCTTCTTTTTTTATACTTGAGCACTTACCTTCTTATAACTGGTGTAAAAATGTAAATGGTGATTGTGACATACCAATTCAGGACAAGTGCCACATGGTAAAAGATGAAAGGAAATTTCTCCTTCATTATTCCTCTCAAATCCCTCTCCTTGAACTGCAAATAAACCATTTTTTAACTCATCTCTCTGTTTCATTTCCTCCTTGCAGAACCAGTGCTGTGGTTTGCTGAATGGACCTTCCGACTGGGGAAATAATATTGGTAACAATAAAATCTGTGAGTGCGAACTGAAGAGCTCATCAGATCTCTGCACCTACTATCAAGGCAGATACGTTTATAAAAATGTAAGAAAAATATAATCTTCCACTCTTCTTTCCCCAGAGAAGTTTTAACCCAAGGTTGTCTTTGGTGACAGGCATAGTCAGCAGTTCTGTATCTTTCCAAAAAGTCAAAGATTTGCCTTCTCTTCATTAACCAGAATCGCCTTGTGCCATCTGTTACAAAATTAGTGTGCATACATAAAATATGCTGCTGCTTCCTTTTCCTGGGGTGTCTCTATTTATTTTAGCTGTGCAGTGCAATGCTCTTAGGATCTCAGCAGCATTCATGGTTACTATGGATGAAAACTATTTATTGTCAGGGTATGCCTCTGGGTCAGAGGAGCATGTCAGCTACACTTTGCCTCTTGTTCTTCCATCAGAAGGTTATGTTTCCACCCAGGCTCATTCTGGTGGTAGACATATTGACTCAGAGGCTTTAAAGAGCTAAGGGATATTGAAAAATGAACACATTAAATGCAAGACCTTTGGGGTTTTACAGTCCTTTCATAAAAAAACCCCACACTCACTTCGAAGGATCTGCTGGAAGTAAACCTTACCTGTTTGTAGGCTTCATGGTAGCATACTCAAAATGTAATTTCCAACAACTACAGCCTTTTGAAAAGCTTGGGGTATTAATATAACAATAAGGCAAAAATGCCTGATGACAGGCAACAAGAAAGCATACTCAGAAATTGGCAGGTGGGCAGCAGAGGCCTCGGTTAATTAATTTGAAGATTTATCTTTCTCCTCATATGGAAATTTGGACTCTGTGCATACAAAGAAATGTATGGGGGGAAAAGTGGAAAACGAGCACAAAATAGCTGCATTTTTAGAATGCTGGTCGTACAAAGTGTGCTGATCCGCACCTAGCACAGAGCAGATTTTAGCAAGCATCCATTCTGGTTGTATACTTTTCTAAATACAGAGCCTCCTAGCCAGGTCCTGCCTGGGCACTGATTTCCTCCCTGTGCAGTCCCACAGAAGCAAACAGTGTTTTAAAGCAAGGGAACAGTCTGGTTAAATAGAGGATGCCAGAAGCCAATCTGGAAATAAGCTGTATACAGAGAGGCTGTTTGGGCCACATTTTAATGTCTCTTTGGCCTCAGACAAACTCTCAGGGGACACATGAGAAGCCATCAGTGAAATTGCTGCAGGTGCAAGATATTGTTCACATGAACACAGAGATTTCATGGTGGTGTTAGATTCTAGTAAAGACATTCAACTCTTGTTGATCCAGGAAAAAAGATTTGAAATTCAGTACAGTTCTGAGTCAGCCTAAATCAAAGGGGTTTTAGAAGAACTGGAAGGAGAAGACCCATGTGCTTACTGTGAAGGAGGAAGTATGGTGAAATAACATAACTGCATTTGGGGGAAGGTAGTCATAGTGTTGGAACAGTACTGTAGTTGATGGATTTATGCCTTACTTGGCCTTCCCTGCAGTCAGTAGTAAAAGGAGCATTGTCAATGCCTGGAGAAGATGTAGTCATTACAAGAACAGATGTATGCATTTATTAAAAAGGAGAGTAGGTCTGCACAGAACTTCAGACATGATCACTCTCTTCCTCCCAGCCCCAGTCTAAGACCACTAAACATTTGTCAAAACTCTTTTTTAAGATAGGTTTTATATCTCAATGTTGTTAGCTGAGCCCGATTATACCAATAAGCTTTGAAGCTTCAAATCCAAGGATCAGACTAGTGGGAAGCTAGAGTTCTCTCTCAGATCTGCATTGGCTCTTTCCTAGCAGCAAATGTTTATCAAATGAAAGTATGAATCAATGCTTCTTTCCTTGTCAATTAAAATAATACAAGCATTAGGCATGACAGCTGTATATTTTCATTTGAAACTTCACCCTTTTATAGTCAGCTACTAAATTCATGTTCATATTTAGGAAGGCAAAAACTAGATATCTTCCTCAGAGCACAATGTACATATAGCTGTGTTCTTTGTGTGTGTTAGCAACAAGTCAAAGTAAATTCAAATAGCATTTCTTTAGCACAGAGAGAAAGCAAGAGACCATGAGAGGATCTATTTTAGAAGATGCATTCCGAAAAACCTTAGGATAACGTTGCTTGCTTATAATTAATCATTTTGTCTTATTTTTCAGCCTTGTGGAGATGTGATTATCAATTACCTTAAAGGCCATCTGCTCATAATTATGGGAATTGCTTTTGGACTGGCCGTTATTGAGGTACCAGTACACACCATTAAAATATTTAGTATCTGACAAGCAATATTTTCTACCTAGAAATACACTGGGAATGGGATTAAAACACCTGGCTTGCTCAATTAAGAGACAAAGGAAAACCACCTCTTACCTTAGCTGTAATCTTAGTTATTCCATATAAACAGTATCCAGCTGCTGAGTGTCGAACTTCAGCTGGGATCAGACCACCCTGCTGCCTGTATAAGTGTTTCACATGGGACTTTTTCTGCAAGGACTTGAGAATCTGCAGCCAGGCTCTGCCTTGACAATGAGCCTTGTTGAGAGAGGGGTATGTGGATACCCAGCCCCAGGAAGACACAAGGCAGAATATCTGGTCTTTTCCTTATCTTTCCCTTCTTTGCTTGAGGAAAAAGTCATAAGAAAACTTAGCCCCTAGACTTCAAATTCTTATCACAGAGAAATTATGGTACGAAATTTTTATTATGAGGCATAGTTTAGCTATCAAGATGGTGAGTGAATGTGCCTGAGTGCACACCTGTGCTGCTCCATATAGTCCTGTGTGTAAAAAAATGCAGCATATGTTAGCTATTTATTTTAATTGCTTCATCATACACTGAAGAATAAGATGCAAAGTTTTCTCTGAAGAGAGGAGTAAAACCAGTGAGTTTATCCAGTCAGTGACTTGGTGAATGATAGGCTTTGATTAGGAGAAAATGACAAAGGAACAGGGGATTTCATCATGTTGATTTCTTCAGGCATTTTCTTTCTTTTCACTTTTCCTCTGTGGTTTCCCTTCTCGCCTGTCTCTGTTTGAGGGAAAAGGAGAAATGACGAAGATTGCTGTGCAGAGTTCAGTCTGTTATTCCAACTGAAAGCTTCTTAACAACATTGGCAGAGGATTGCTCCTCATGGTAGAAGAGTGGGCAAGAGCCCCGACTCAAAAATACATTTCCAGGAAAATTATAGTAGGTGGGGAAATGTTACGCAGCTGCAGCACTGAGAGAGGACAGGCCACTGACTTCATGTGCAGCACAGGCTTCTTGTTATTTAAGGTCCTATATGTGGGAGGTCACCTATACGTCTTGTGTGTGTGTGGGAAATAGGTGAAATACACCTATATTAAAAAGCCTTTTAAAATATAAAAGAATTTTAAAATTGCATCTGTTTCCCAAAGGTAAGTTATGAGTCTCTTTGCTCTAGTTACTGCAGTTACATGAGTTGCAGCCTTTACTTCGCTGGCCAACATTCTTCCCTGTTCCCCAGTTGGCATTTTCTGTGGTGGCTGCCTCTCCCAATCATAAAAGGATTAGAAAACAACACGAATAAACAATATGAGCCTCAGCTGGTACAAATTGTCAGCTGGCAATTTACACTTGATAAACATTTAGCCTTTCCAAAGATACTAACATATTATGACTTCTCAAGTAATTGCAAATCAAAGGCTGCATGCTTAGCCATCTCTCTGCTCCTGAAAACCCCAGATAAAAAGAAGGGGACAAAGAAAAGTACTCTTCCCTATTGTTACACACATGCACACACACACTGCATGCTCTGTGAAGCCATTTGTGGGCTACAAGTGGTTTCAGCTCATTCTACTAGTGGAAATGATACCAAGTAGAAGGGCACAAGTGAAAATGAGGGCATGGTATATTAGGGAAGCCCTGTCAGCTTCTTTCAGCTGTGAGTCCATCCCCTTCTCTTTGCGGTACCCCTGTGTTCCATACTCTCTCTACTGGCTTTTCCTTAAATAAATGAATCATCCTGGTATTTTCATAAGTGTCAATTGGATACTTTCCACTTTTTGAGACACCTTCACAGACTGGTTAATTTTAAATCTAGAAGGAAGCTTTCTGATCATCTGATCTCACCAGCTGTCTGTGCCAGCCTGTGGAATTCCACACAGTAATTTCCACTACAGCAAGTGACCCTACTGAAGTTTCTATTTTTATTAAACTTCTCAGTGTTTGCTGCTCCACTGCAGCTAACAAACAACTGCATTTTAAACTCCCAGAGCCACAGGGTTCTCCATCCACAAAGGTGATCCATCCTTTAAACAAATGAAATGGTTTTCATTTGAAATGAAATTCAAATGAAATGAATTTAAAATTCAAATGAAATGGATTCCATCTTGTCCACAGCCTTACCTGTGGTGCATACTGATTTCATCAATATGGCTATATTCTAGAATCACATTCTTCAAGACTTAGATTGGCAAAGGTCTTCTGCATAGCACATTTAGCCTGCATGTAAATCCAAGACATTTGCAAACAAAATGTTCCCACTGGGTATCGGTTGCATCCTGGGATTTCCAGGACTGCCAAGTAATACCAAAACTGTCTTTGTTTTCCAGATTATTGGTTTGGGGTTTTCTATGAGCCTCTACTGCCAGATCGGGAGAAAATGAAACTGTGGAAGTGCCAGAATTGTGTCACCAGACAAATCAAAACCTTTGCAGATAGAAGGATATTTGACTTGGCACATTCAGAGATACCTGCATGTCCCAGGCAGCTGTTCTGATGAAAACGGCAGCACATGGATGCTTCACAATTTGCAAAACAACCTCCTTATACTTCATAAGATTTAATGATGTGAATGTGAATTTTTATTTGGAGTAAACATCTTTGTTTATGTTTCTGAGTAGTTTCTTTTGACTGAAGACAGCATCTAAGTCACCTTGAGATTCTGAGTTCACCATGCAGTGTGTCCACGTGAGCTATGCCACCCATAGCAGTCACCAAAAACAATCTTGCAGTGGCTGACTGGTCCAGGGAATCACATGCCCCCAGGCTGCTTTGCAGTGAAGCAGCGTGTTTCCATTAGGAGTGTCACAAGTCAGTTTGACACTCAATATGGTATATATGGTCAGGGGTTTGTTACTTGTGAGAAGCACAGGGACTAACTTTCAAGCAGATAGGAAAGCCATATATCCCTTCAGGGACATTAAATCAATATCCTGGCAGCTGAGATGGTCACTCTCAGGCCCAAATGATGCTTAGATTGCATACTAGAGTTGGGTTTAGTGGCACATGTTTTGGAATTATGCAGCAAGGGTGAAATCCAAGCCCATGTAGAGGCAGGATGCACACAGAAGCCACGTGGGTGGGACTAGTATGGCTAAGACAAGCAGTGTGCTCCCCATCAGCGGGTGGACAGCAGAGGGCATGGCTGGTAACACAGCAGCAGCAATACAAACCATACCTGCCTTTGGAGTGCTTGCAAGTGTTGAGGCCCTGAGGCACAGACAGCCCTAACTGTCCCTGCCCAGCCCCCCCGGGGCTTGCTCCACCCTGCCCACGGTCCAGAACCCCATGTCAGCCTCATTGGAACTATGATGCCACAGCAGGGTCAGTGTCCAGCTCCCCACATCCATGACCTGATTGGCCATGGGGTCGCACTGAGCTGGTCCCATAACCCTAACCCTAACCCAATCATGGGACTGTGTCCTGGCCTGGCCTCAGCCCATTCCCATCCCCAGGGAGGTGCTGGATACCTGGGGCTGGGGCTGCCCCAATGTCTCCTGGCTGGGGCTGTGGGAAGGGCCCTGGCTCTCACCCCTGGAGAATCCATGCAGTCCTGGCCCCAGGGAGCTGCTGGCCCAGGCACCTCCCTGGCAGAAAGTAGATGTCATCAGGGTGCGGATTTTTTAAGGAATGAAGATGCCTAATGATGCCCACAGGGATCTGCTGAGGTTTCCCACTGATGGCCTCACAGCTGTGTGCTGGGGCCTCGTTGTTCCCACCAGTCCTGCTGGGTCCCATCTTCATCTTTAGCAGCAACTTTAAACACCCTCAGACAGCTGCTCTTAAGAGAAAACCGTGTACCATGCTCTTCCACTTTAAGACCCCTCAAATGTCCATGACTGTCTCAGAGCATTCCCAGACTGCTCCCATCTTGACAGAACCAGGCAAGTGTTGCGTATAAATAGATTAAAAGCTTCCCTTGAACAGAGACCTTTGCCTATACGGTATACCGGTAGGATTGGGTTCAGATAAATTAATCTGCAGCAACCACTTTTCTTTAAAACACATCCAGAGGAAAAGTTTCTGACCTGTCTCCCACCCTCTCCCTAGCACTCAGACCATCAGGCCAAGCTGCGAGGCCTGATTTCAGGAATTCATGTATCTCCCAGGAAAGCCAGCTAGCTACCAGACAACTCTGGCACTTGCCCTTCCTTTTGCTGAACCTCAGAAACTGTGCCAGAAGAATTCAAACTTTGTTGGACCAGAGAAAAAGCATGACTCCAACCCAGCCATACTCACTGGAAGGAGAAATGCTGGCTTCTGGTTCCTCCTCCTCCCCAGACTGTTTGTTTTCTGTGCATATCTTACCCATGATCTAAAATCCTGGAAGCTGAGACTAAATCATGCAGATCATGGGTTGGAAGCTGGACTCTTGGATCATCACTACAGAAAAAATTGTGAGTGTAGGGGCAAAACGCAGAGACAATTGCATCTTCCTCTTCTTCCTTCTCCTTCTTATGGGAAGGAATGTTCTTCTCTTTGAAAAAAGGACCAGAGGGTCTCCCATAGAGAGGGGTCTTAAGGCTTTGGATTGCTTAATGGACGAACATGGACAGGAAATTACAGCTTACCCTTGCTGCCAGAAGTGGTTAGCTTCAAGCATTACTGCTATGGAATCGTGATAAGCATCTACACAAGACTGACAAAATGTACACTGGCTTGGAGACCAGTCTTCCTGTATGCTTCTCCAGAACAGACAGATGTATAGAAGCAAGGCATTAATATATCTAGCCCTCAAAATGCTCTCCTTTTGCATCACAATAATGATGTATGATATGTTTGACGTTTTGTTAAAATAGTGGTGTCATTAAAATCAGTAGGAAAATGTCATCTGCAGTGAGGAACATTGACACAAGAGTTTCATCTGGATCTGAGGTGAATAGCTCTTCTATTTGCTTAGGCAATTTGTCTTCGTTTCCTAAAGCACTAAGGAATAAAACTGAAGCACTATGATTATATGTTATCATGCCTGTTTAAATAGGACTGAACCAGTGAAGTAATTCAGACTATTACCAGCTTGCTGCTAAAATGGGTTTGCCTCTAAAACATACTTATTACCTTTGATGTTGCAAAACTTATTATTTCCTTAAAATGTTTTGTAGCCTCCTGAAGTTTCCTCATCCATTTTTAAATAAAACAAAGAGAAATCTGTCTGGATGGGATTCATCTGGCCATAGGCAATGCTCTACAAAGTAGAAATTCAGATCATAAAATCATGGAATGGTTTGGATTGGAAAGTTCATCTAGTCCAACTCTCCTGCCTTATGTGAGCTACCTGTTTAGATTCCCCTTATAATCAATTAAGAGAAATAAGCACATTTAGGATCTGAGCTATCCCATTCTAAAATAGATGTCCAAAGAGGTTAGATGAGCCATTTGCATCACAGATAGGTGAAGCTTGAGTGATTGAATCTTACTCTACGATACTGAACTTGTTAAAATCAACACAAGCAGTGGTCAGTCAGGAAAGAGCATTAGTATAATATTGCAAGAGGGTGCATTGATTATTTATTCATTATTTCACTGACCTCTTTGCTCAGTCATAATCCATCCTGCTAAGAAATGAGCCCTGCTTACTGTCTGGGCTGGTAGGATGAGATTCACCTGCTCTGCAGGAATGTCCCCCTCAGAGCCATGATGCTGTAACAGAGATCCCAGCACCACTTCTTCATGGAGTCCTCTTGGTGTTCTTATCAGAGAGTGTTTTGAGTTAGCAATTGACTCAAAATAACAATGGGACATTTTTTTGAGCCCACATCCACTTTTTAATTATGATGTCTGGAAACTCTAAAATAGAATTGGACAATAATTCCTTGACAGAACAATAAAACAATAAAAGTATTCTTTTGTGGGATGTCAGGGAAGGTTGGTTTTGTTTTTCCACAACAATCTCATCCAAGGTTATGTTCCTTTCAGTGTTACCCAGTAAAACCAAGCATATAGAGGAAAGACATCCAAAATGTTAGTGCTTTGGAATACAAAGGGAGACAGAGCATGTATCATTGTAATCTTAAACAGTATAAGAAAACAGTGGTAGGAAGAAAGACAATGCATCCCTGTCTATGTTAGGAGAGCTGAATACCAACTTAAAAAGAGGTCTATTCAACACAAACTGGTTATCTATCATGTCAAAGCCAAACAACTATATAATGGCAACAGATAAGACGTTGCACCTGGGTCAAACTATTTCCAAAGAATGTTTTCTCACATCATTTAAGGGATTTCAGGGGAATGTGTTGATCTCAGAAGGGACTGCATTTGGGGGAAAAATACAGCATGAATAGAAGAAGAAAGATATAGTGTATGGTAAAGTATAAGTTAGTTAAGTAATGTCAGGAACGCCATAAACAATGAATGAAGCATTAATGAGTTCCACTGTTGGAAACAAACAAAGAAACAAAAACCAAAAACATGAAGAAAAAGACAGAGGCAGGTGGACAAACAAAAAGAAATCTGATTTTGAAAAATGGAAGAAGAATGAATCAAAGCAGGACAGGTTAATTTGAAAGAAAAATGAATAAAGATATTGAGCTTATCAAGATCCAGGGTTCGCTGCACTCAGCTCAGCATGAGGGCAATTTGGCCCTGATCCACCTTTGTGTCCTGGCTGTGATGCTGAAAGCCAGTTCAACCTGTTCTTCATCCAGTGCCAAATCTGCCCCAAATCTGGCTGGCTGTCAGGGCCCCTAAGGAACCTGTGTCACAGATGTGGCTCATCAAAGTAGAGCTGGTACCCAAAGGGTATTCCAAGGGACAGCTCTGCTAGTTGTACAGCCCCTGGGATTGCCTGGAGAATAAGCCTGAGGAGCTGGAACTGATGGCTTTCCCTCTGGGCACTGCAGATCTGGCCCAAGTATGTTTAGAAACATGATTAAGTGAGGCAGAAAGGTTTATTTTTAAAGTAAGGTGGAGGATTATCAGTTTAATTTCTGAAATAGGACTGAGACCACAAAATTATAAGCCAGTTCTTTGGCTCTGCTGCAAGACCTGTCCTAACTGCTTAGCCAAAGGTTTTCTGGCATGGGAGAAGCTCAGGTCTCCTCATTCAGGGTGATATTTGACTTGTTTGGGTCAGTTATAGAGTAAACACGTAATGCTGCTCTGGGCCAGAACCAAGACCTTCCCCTGCAAACGTTCTGTCTGGGAAGCTCTTGAGACACTGCTCCTCCAGGAGGGAACCAGGCTGTGCCAATCTGAGGAAATGTTACATTAGGAGTTCATTCAGGGACCCAGGGGAGGTTTGCATCTCTTCTGGTGTTATCCATGGCAATTTGATTATTCTTGATAATTATATATCAAGAAAATTGGCAGTTTTTCTCTCCACTTCTGTCAATAGCAATATTCTCATCTTTTCACTGAAGGGTTCTCTCTCTGTTGCAGTGGTTTGGATTAAATTCCTTTGTGTTATTTTCAAGTCCTTATTTTGAACTGAAAGCTGACCCTCAGTGTATTTTGTAAAATGCTGAGCCTGCTTGGGTTTCTTGGGGAGGTAGAAAGGTGATGTCATTCACCACTTGATACGGTTGAATCTATCTATCTGAACTTGGACACTGGGGAGGAATGGGAAGATCATTCCTTTCTGTCCCAAATCCACTTACAAATTCTTTCTCCTT